AATAAACATAATAATAATAACAATACTACTACTACTAATAATAATAAACATAATAATAATAACAATACTACTACTACTAATAATAATAAACATAATAATAATAACAATACTACTACTACTACTACTACTACTACTGCTACTACTACTACTACTACTACTACTACTACTACTACTACTACTACTACTACTACTACTAGTACTACTACTACTACTACTACTACTACTACTACTACTACTACTACTACTAATAATAATAATAATAATAATAGATTGAACTTATATAGCACTTTTTAGGACACTCAAAGACGCTTCCATGCACTCTCTCACATTCACATTCTGTCAGTGATGGTAAGCTACTATGTAGCCACAGCCACCCTGGGGCAGTCTGACAGAGGCAAGGCTGCCATTTGGCTCTGACCACACCAACTAAGGCAAGTTGAGTGAAGTGTCTTGCCCAAGGACACATTAGCAGACAGACCCCTGGCAGGAGCTGGAATCAAACCCATGGCCCTCAGATCATGAAGCATCCCACTCTACCTCCTGAGCTACTGCCGCCCCCACATATTACCTGACTTATTGGCAGAAATTGAGAACAGTAAACTCTTCAAAATGTTCCTAGAAAAAAAAACTCAGTTTTTACATTTTTGTCACTCATAAATGTTTAAAATCAGCTGCCCAAATATCAGTGTCAAAGAAGTATATACAGAATGATTTTGTTTTCAAATGATGATTTACAACCTCTGAAAAGAACATGGTACATATGTGAAAAAGTAATTGGCTGGACCTTGTTCTTCAAGACTTCCTGGAAGAGGTCAGGATTCATGGTTCTACCAATCACAGCAAAGGGTCCACAGTGTTGCGGAAGTTTGTTTGAACTAGTTCAAAATTCCGTTCATACTTTTTAAAATGAACTAGTTCAACTCATAGTTCATTATTTTCAATTTTTTACCTAAGTTCACAGTTGCAAAAATAAAAAAAATGGGAATACTTTTATTATTTTTATATGTTGCAGAGAGCTGTTACCCTCAGAATAATGGCATTTTCCAATTGTTGCCACCCGTTCAATCAACACTCATTCCCAGCAGCAGCTCTTACCCGCAGTACATTCTCTATAACTCGAGAAAACAACATCATAGCTGCGGTGGAAACCTATTTATTTTATAAGACTAATTTGTGAGGGTGCATCTAAAATCAGTGTTGAATGTAGTTGTATTTTCTTCCAAGGTAAATGGAACGCACCATAAATCCCATTGTTAACAGTATAGCCATAAAGAGTGGACGCCACAACAACCGCTATACTGCCCATGGCGTCCGAATTTGTGGGGTCTACTATTTATAAGGTCTGTGGTTAACAGGATGTTTTAGCCACGGCTTTAGCTCCCTAGAAATCTGGAGTTCTCCAACTACTTTAAACTGCGACAGAGAGTCGTTTACAAACGCCAGAATGAGCACGTTCACTTTAACGCTCCTCAGACGAAATACGAGTGAGTTCAGTTCACATTCACAAAAAATATGAGTGAGCTCAAGTATAATCGTACAATGAATCCCTCTCAACGGAGGCCAACAACTCATCAGGGGATGGAGAGGCGGGGTACCCAAAGTAGTTTTGGCTCGTTAAATAACATTAGACAGCTACAGTTTATAAGCTTGACTCTCCCACATTCGAGTTAGAATTGACAAAGCTCCTCGGATGAGTTGCCTTCATTTGGACCTTTTGGTTCAATTAACTTGTTCGAGCACAACACTAGGGTCCAGGTACTGAAGCAGCAAAGCAGCCCAACACCATCACACTACCACCGCCGTGTTTGACTGACGATATGAATCCCTTTGCTAGAAATGCTTAGTTTTATACCAGATGTCACACACCCTCCAAAAACAATTATTTCACTATTCTGCATAATATTTTCCCAACAATCTTGGAAATCAGACGGTGATGGTGGCAGGGGAGTTAAGTACTTGTGGTAAATGTGAGATGGGCCGTTGTGTTATTATTATTATTATTATTGTTATTATTATAAGTTAGCAGAGATTAATGCTACGAAACTCTCCATTGTTACAAATTTTGCTCAAAACATGCAAAGCACATATTTAATGGTTGACCAGACCCTTGCTGATTCTTTGTTTGACTCTTGATTTGCATGAGAGTTTAAGGGACAGTGGTGGAGTTTAGATTGAAACAATCAACACAAAAGTCTGCAACTTGTAACGCCACAAGAGCCATTAGACAAATTATCTGATGTTTAGAGGTGACCTCCCTGTGAAGTGATGACTTTATTGCCCCTTGAGGGGGTCTTAGATGGAAGTGTGTCTCCTTTGGTCTCCTGCTGTGTCCAACACTAAAGTCACCTCTGTGAAGTCCTGCTGCAGACTCTGATTTTAAACCAGCTGCTGTTCCTGTAGTCAAAAATCTACCTGAGAGGCTCTTTGTCCTCGGGATGTGCCCTTTTGTCCCACTGATCCACTCAAACAGATGTCCAGCCACTGAGCTTTCTCATAGGAAGTTGTAAACCTCCAACGTGCAGCAAGACCTATTCATATGGAAGTGTCAAACACATGCAAATGCAGGCATGCAGACACCCTGTTGGGCTGGCTTCTGCAAATGTTTGACTATGTAACTACAGACAGTCCTGCACACGGTGACTGGAGCGCAATGAAAGCTCCATAGAGTAATCACTTTGAATTGTATAAGTGAGACAGGAAATTGTGTAGGAGGCCTTAAACGGTCAGTAAACATGATAAAATCCTGCGTGCCACAGACTACAGACAGAGGAGGCTTTTTTTGCCTTCTGTTTCATCCAAACACCATGCAGACCTCAGTTTGTGCTTTCAAATTCTACAAAGATGGAAATTTTAACTTAAATAATGCCTCTGGATTATTATGATTGCTTAGCATTACTTTATAAATGAAAAAAAGTTTCAAATAACCTTTCTGTATTGCTGCAGTTACTGGTTTGCTTCCTTGTGTCCAATATGTCTGTCTGAAGCCATCAAGTTTTATCTGTATCGGGCACCTGCTGAGAATATTGATCCTGTGCAGGTCTCACCATTTTTTTTACTTATTGCCAGGCTTTAAACAGCTCCATGTCACTTTGCATTGAATACTAATCAGAAACTCTAACAGATTCAAATTCTTCTCATTTTCAGCTAAAACAATAAGCTTCATATTTACTTCTGAATACTTTATAGAATCATGAAGGTCAAAGAAAACTCACACACACTCATGCATGCACGCATGCACACTTGCATGCTCACATGCTCTCTACCCACACGTTTTATCCAAATAATGAAGTTAGTCAAACATTTAAGAAAAAAAATTACTTGGTTTTGTTATTAAACTGAAGATATTCATGCACCCTGAAGGTGAAAATACTACAGAAAAACGTGTATTTGGTAAAAAATAAATAAATCAAACAGTAAAAAAAAGTCATGATCTAGAGCTGATATTGAGGCATTTTTCATTAACGACATAAATCTAAGCTGCTTTTTAATAGCTTTGATTTTAATTGCTAACTATTGCCCAGTGTGCAGAAATTATGCTTTTCTTGCAAACGTCCCATTAAACAGTCAGTCCAGTTGCCATATAATGATGTTCCCTTGCTCAGATAACCTACCAGCTGAACCACAGCAACCAGATGCATGAAAAATGAAGTGAAAACCGTCTGAATTGAATCTGAAGAGTCCAAATTTGAATTTTAGATTTAGAACTCCTTCATATTTTAAGGACTTTGTACATATCTAGCTACTTTAAGTTATGTTTAATTACTCCACATTTGAAATTTGTTTCTACCAACATTTATGTTGTACTCAATCTTCCAATTCATTAAAAATAGTTTTTTTTTAAATATATGTCTTGTTTGTGCAGTTGAATCAACTCAAAATCTCTTTCCAGATAATAACACCAGAGTTCAATTTGCAAAGACAGGACAATCTCTGATGAATCAAGTGCCATCTGTGCCCAATTTACCTCCAGGTCGTCCATTATTGAATTTAATGTTATGGGTGATCATCGGCGAACGCGTTGAGACCATTAGGCGGCCGTGTGAAACACTAATAGTGTTTGTGTCACGTGTCTGGTTGAGGGAATGGGGGGTATGGACGTTTTAAAGACCGTGCTCAGGTCATTTCATTCACGTTACGAGAAAGAGTGACAGCAGAGGGGCGATGTCCACTCTCTGAGGAAGCCTCTCCTCTTAACTCGCTCTAAAACCTGGCGACAAGTGATGAGAAGTTCCTCTCCGCGCGCGTAATTACGCACACCGCTCGCTTGTCTTCACGCGTCTTAAAGGATAATGCTACCTACTGAGTGACGATGATGTCCAGCCACAAGATTTCCTTTTCTATAATCGACATATTGGATCCGAACAAATTCAACAGCAAAAGGACAAATGAACTTTGCATCGGGAAGGAGAAGTTTCCTGCGCCAAACGCAGAAGGAACGAGTTTGGAGTGGGACGGCACGGCGGGTGGGGACATGAGAGAAGAGCACACTGATGCAGGTAGAGAAAACAAAAAAATGTATCATAATGCAAGCAATTTTTTATGTTTCTGCCCAAAATTATTAGCCTGGATTTATTTAAAACATCGATAATATGGGAAAAATTGACTTATCATTTTAAAATCATGTTTCTATTAAATAAACAAATAAAAACGACTATTAGATAATAAAAAGCTAAATTAATATAAAGTAGAAACGTTAAGAACGTCTGAGAGCGCAAACATCAAACAGTGATTTGCTATCTGAGAGCTAAAGCCCTCTCCGTATGACCTTCCCCTAATATACCAAAGCTGGGTTTCCTTTGAAGGAAGCCACAAAGGCTTGCTCCCAGAGCCCAAACGTGTGATTGGCACCGGGACAGGCAGGCCAGATAATTGTTTAAATCGTCCCATTGAGGATGCCTCTGCGCGCTTTGATCGATATCCCATTACTGCTTCCTGCATATCTCCCTCCAGCACCTTGCAGGTACAAACCTCACACCCCATCCATGTCTGATCCTATATCGTTCGATTAAAACTTCCCTTTAAATAGATGACATTTATCGATCCGCCCGCAAATATGAAACTCCATTAGCACGTCACGGCTGAGGCGGTGAAGCTGGATTAGACGGGATTTCTTTCCGCAACATGACATTTGAAGCGCCGCGCGGTTTATAAATTATTTAAGGATTAGCGACCAAGTCTTCCTCTTCTCTGGATGCTTCTTGGCGCTCCGCCGACCTCGGAGTCCTAATCAAACATGCCAAAGACTCTTCACCCCCACCCGCTGTTTTTAGTGTTCACATTACTCTAAAGTGAACCAAAAGAAGAGACGTTCCTCTGCCGTACCTGGACAGATGCCTGTCCTGACAGGAGCTGTCCTTCAGCACCACGGCCAATTTGACAAACACGGGGGTTGTTTCGAAGTTTGTTTTACAATTGAAGCTTTTCTTTGGAAAAAGTTCGGTTTAAAAAAATCAGCGTAGCTTTTATTTATTTATTTTAAAAGTCAATTAAATCATGAGTCAGGGGCGACATCTTGTCATGTTGCCTGCAGAAGAAATAAAATATTAGCAGGCTCAAGGCGCATATTTTCATTATATAAATGCAATGTTATGACATATGTATGTTTCTGGCAAAAGGGAAGGTGAACCGAGTCTCTTTATTTTTGCAGGCGAGGAGTCAGAAGATGAAGACCCCGCTCATGCTGCGGTCACTGCGGATCCCATCCTCCTCTCCCCGCATCCTTACAGTGATTCCTGTCTCTCCGGCGAGCAGGATGACGGGAACGGGAAGACAGCGGCCTCCCAGCAGGACCCGTGCTCACACAAGCGGCGGCGCCCGGACCAGTCCTGCGCAAAGCCGCGGCGCGCCAGAACGGCCTTCACATACGAGCAACTGGTGGCTCTGGAAAACAAGTTCCGCGCAACTCGGTACTTGTCCGTGTGCGAGAGACTGAACCTGGCTCTGTCCTTGAGTCTGACCGAGACGCAGGTCAAAATCTGGTTCCAGAACAGGAGGACCAAGTGGAAAAAGCAGAACCCGGGGGCGGACAGCACCTTGCAGCCCGGCTCCAACTCGCTGGTTAGCGTCAGTCCGAATCCGGCAACCTGCGGCTCGAGCTCCGGCAGCTTCCACCAAAGTTTCTCTAACTTCAGCTCTGGGAGTGTGATTTTCCACACAGGCGGTGGTGTTCCGCTTTCTTCCACTGGAGGTCTCCTGCATCCCTTCATGGCTTCAGGATTCGTCCAACCGACTTACTTTAACTCACACCTATGAAAAATAAACTCAAGACTATAAACTTTTATACTTTGCTGAAAAACGTTTTCCTGGAATTTATGAAGTTGCGTGAACGTTTTTAAATAATTCATTTATATTTTTTTTCAACTGGTTTATGAGAAAAGTGTGTGTCTTAAATTCAATGTTGCACATTTAAAATGAGTAACCTGCAAAACTCTCTCCACTTGTTTTATAATTCACTATTATGTCACTAACTTGCAAATAAGTTGCCATTATTCCATATTAATGCATTACTTTGCATTTCTGTTTTTACCTTCTATGTTTGCACAAGGCACGTATATCTTTTGTCAACAAACATAATAAACGTAATTTTTTTAAAACACTATAATGTATGTCTGGTTTTAGAGTCAAAACACCTAAAAGACAGGATACACAATATTGTAAATAAAGTTTGATTAGTACAATATTTTCATAAGACTTTATAATAAGGGTCCCTCATTACTTATTGCATTACTAAGCATTAATAAATAAATGGTCCCTTTTTTAATGTCACCGCTAAATGATGCTAAGTAATGCATTACATATTCTGGTTTAGCAGTTGTTAATACCTTATTTAAAGGGATATGCAAATGTTTCACATTTTTAAATCAATTTCTCGAGCCTTTATGTGCTAAACTGACCTTTTACAGCAGGTGTCAAACTCCAGTTCTTGACGGCCACTATCCCACATGTTTTAGTGATTTTCCTGTTTCAACAGACCTGATTTCAATCAGCAGGTGATTATCAAGCTTCTGGAGATCCCGATGAGCTGCTGCACAGGTGAATCAAGTGTTGGAACTGGGAAACAACAAAAATATGCAGGATACCGGCCCTCGAGGACTGGAGTTTGACACCCCTGCTTTACAGGCTTAGTGAAATGTAATTTAGACCCCTACCGTCCTCTGTGGCCAGAATACCACATTTGCAACTTAAGAGTGCCTGGCCGCAACCTGTGGATTTAGAAAAAAATCAATGTACATACCTGGCACCACAGTCTGCTTCCACCACTTTTCCTGCATCTTATCGTGAACACAGCTGACGTGTTTGATTTAGTGATGAAGAAGAAACTAATGAAGGCTGGGGAGACATTTCAGTTGTTACATTAAGGTGTTAAAAGACAAACACACAGCGAGGAGATACGTTTCACTTTTGGTTTGACCAAAGATAATTAATAACAGACACTAAGGGGTGCTAAAAGCAAGCTAAATAGCTAAGTGTGCCTTTATTAGTTTATTAACTCCTTCACTGCAGCTGTTTTTTGAACAGAAAGCCCCTGACTGCCAGAGCTTTTGAGCATTTTTACTCTTTTTTGAAGAGTGACAGAATATTGGGCCCTATGACCACGTAAACACTAAAACTACCAAAAGAAAGCGTAGACTCCCTTCTTACATCAGGAAGAATACAGTTACTATGTTTTTCCCGTTCTTTCACAATCTGTTGTCGGAGTGTGAGTTGCAGAAGCTTTTCTGGTTTGCACCTCGCCTTTTTCATAGAAGAGTCCCAAAACAATCTCCTAATACAAGGAATGTCTGCTTCATGATCTCGTGACGTGTGACACAGATGAATCTTATCTATGATTTTTACTCTCATGGTGCGTGAGCTTGTTCCCTCTCCCGCCCCGTTAAAAAAACACAATTGACGTTTTCAGTCGCCAACAGCAGTGAATGAGTTAATGCCTCTGTCAGTGCGCCCCAGGGCAGCTGAGGCTACATTGTAACTCATCCTCAGCAGCATGTGAATGTGCGTGTGAATGGGTGAATGACTGATTGTGTTGTAAAGCACCTTGGAGGTTTGTAACCTAAGAATGCACTATACAAATACAGACCATCTACCAATGCTTAATAATGCACTAAGTAACGTTAATAAAGGGACCCTTATTGTAAAATGGTACAGACATTTTTATAACTACCATAAACATATCTACAATTTAAGGTCATAAAATAGGCTTATAATTGTAAGAAAAAATTATTTATTTAGGTATTTCCATTGAAAGCATCACTTTCTGGATAAAGATTAACTTACATCATCCAGCCACACAGCGTCACCATTTCTTTGCTAACTTTTCATCCAGTGATCCAGATGTGGCAGAAAGCATTATGAAATAGAAACAACAAGAACAAAAGTTAATGGCTCAGTGTCTTATTTTTTTACATTGTTTTGGTCTTTTTTTCATGGCCTTTATGTTATTTAACAGGACTGTTAGTTCATGGTTAAATGTTAACATGAGGAAATTTATGGTATAATTTAAACAAACAGGCACAAAGAGGAAATCTTTTTTCTACTTAGTAAATTCATCACAACTTTATTGTACATTTTATTTGACCAAACTTTACCCCTAAATGTAAATAGTCTCACGTATTAAGACTGAGAGCTTTGCTTTACCTGTTGTAATTTGTTAACAATTAAAAAAAGTGTTTTGCTTTTGACTCTTTGGTTGACAATCCCCTGGCTGAGTGAGGTGCTTGTGTGTCTGCAGATGTTGGGTGTGCTGAATCTGGCTGGGAGACAATTTTATCCTGACACTAGTGTGATGGTCAGAAGGCTGACAGGAGTCCTAAAACTAGATAAAAATGGTTTGACTTCAGTCGAAACCTGGACAATGTCAAACCATCACTGAGGCACTGCAGCATGTCTTTCCCTTTTTACGTTCTGTCTCTTTCTTTGTTCCCTTACTTTGCAGGCCTCAGCATGCATACTAAAACAAATTCTGCATCCCTTCTATGGATATTTGCTGTAATTTACTGGTGCATGTAAACATATACCATTTTGGTACATTGATATTTTTATTTTATATAATTTCTCAAATGCAGCTGAAGAATTTGACAGTTTTGATCAATACATCAGGAAGTCCAACACAAGGAACCCAGTGTGTGTTTTAGCTTCAGGCAACTGTTACACGACAATGTGATGAATAAATCTGCAGCATATTTTAGGGGATCATTTAGGCCTCATCGAAGAAGGCACTCATTTAAAATTAATTTCGCAGAGACGAGGTCAGCAGCAGGGCTGTCATCCCTGTGCCTGCTTGTGTAGAAAATTCCATCAGTAGCCTCGGTTCTTTGTAGTTAAACTTTGCAGAGGAACAAGTGGGAGGCTTGAAAAAACAGATAGAAGCTGAAGATTTTCTGGTATGTGCGGATGTTATCTTCAGCCATGGTGGTCCACAGGGAGTGACATCCTCTCTGCACACAGGGAATAAACAAATGGTGCAGGCAGGAGGGTGAAAGAGCTGCATGAAGAAAGTAGAACTCAGATTGTAACAGGAAAACATACAGTGGTGCAAAAAAGTAGCCAGATTGTGCAAGTTGTCCCACTTAAAAAGATGATAAAGATCTTTTATTTATTTATTTTTTATCACAGGGACATCTCAACTGTGAGAGACAGAATGCAAAACAAATCCAGGAAATTACATTGTATGATTTAAACAACAGTGCAGAAAATAAGGTTTTAGCACCTACACAGAAGCAATAATTCTGGCCCTAACAGATCTGTTACTTCCTCTTTAAGAAGGTCTTTTATCCTCCACTTGTTACCTGTTTGAACACGTCATCTGTATGAAAGACACCTTCAACCAGTCAGACTCCAACTTCCACCATGGCCAAGACCAAAGAGCTGTCTGAAGACACTAGGGACAAGTGTACACTTGCACAAAACATGAACCAATCTACAATAGAGAAGCATCTCGGTGAGAAGAGATTAACTGATGGAGCAACCAGACAGGACACGGTAAAAAAAAAAAACTGATGGAGCAACTATTAGAAAATGAAATAAATATAAAATAACTCAGTGCATTTACATGCACATCAGAAAACCAAACTTTTGCCCTAATTGTCTTTAAATGCATGTAACGGTGCATGCATTTAGGAACGGTAGAACCTGACTTCATCTGCATGTAAACGGTGTTGTGATTTGAAGTTGCATATTTATATACTTTAATTAGATAATTTAATTACCTGATTTTGTATATTTATACAATCGAAGTAATCAATCAGAAGTGGTTGTTTTTATCATCAGGGAGTTTACTTAAACACTCTGTATTGACTGAGAGACAAGAAAAGAGAGAGAGTTGGGATCGTTTAAGAATCTTTAATTTCTATAATTATAAATTCTTACAATCTACCAGGACTATCTCAATGATGAATGCATATGGATGTAGATGTTTCGTGTTGGTGTGTGTGTGTGTGTTTTGTTCAGAATCTCTAGGCTGACGTAGCGAATCTGGTTTGTTATGACTAGGCTACCACGAGGCTTCAGAAGCTGATGACATGAGCCGCCATATTGCCGTGACCACGTACCGTAGATGGAGTCTCCCGTGTAGATCAGGAATTGCCAGGTTCTAAGACCTCGGTTGTACTGGAGCTGGTTGAAACAGCGGTCACAGCACACAACGCCCGTCTGAGGATAACTCCAGTAGTAGTGGGCAGGCGTCAGCAAGTTCACTCTTATTTTGAAGGACGGTAGTATCGTTGGTACAAACGAAGGAAGTCTCCAGCTTGACAGATCTCAGCTTAAAATAGGAAATACAGATGGCCAGCCTGTACTCCTCTTTGCGGTGATGTAACTCCTTGGAGCTCGGATCGAACAGAGCTGATGTCAACGTGGAACTTAACGTGGAACTGACTTAAAATGGCGTTGCCTTCTTTTTATATCTCCCAGTTGTTTAAGAATCTTAGTAAACAGGATTGAACTACTTACTAACGGCTTAGCTGAGCTAACTTCCGGAAATGACTAGACTGCGGAAGAGGGCTTCCAATAATATCATCACCACAATTTAACACTTGTTACACCATCACAGTAGGTACCAAATACGTGTGCTGCAGTGCTGCTGTCTGTTTCTTTGGCTATTGTACACATCCTGTTTTAACTCCACCTGCTTCCTTCTTGCCAGAGTTTGTTCACTCTTTGTGTTGCTATAAGCTAACCGGAGGAATGCTGATGCGAAAGGGCGCTTGTCACCTCCTACTGTACCGGAGTGGAACAAACTTTGTTTGAGAGTTTGGTTTTCTAATGTGCATGTAAACTAAAAGAAAGCCTCCCAGTTTATTACTTTAGAATGACGGAGATTGATTAAGATGCAAATGGAAATGCAATGACTGACAATCTCCCTTGACCTGCGGCATGCAACATCTCACCTTGTGGGGTACAAATCTTGAAAATAGTGAGGAAACTACACGGAAAAACTGATCAATGGGAGTAACAAAGGTTACTATGGTAACACACTACGTCGTTGTGGATTCAAATCTAGCAGCACTGTAAAGGTCCCCCCGGTTTAGCCAGCACATGTGCAGGCTTGTCTAACATTTGCCAGCGACCATCTGGATGATCCAGAGGAGGACTGGGAGAATGTCGTCAGACGAGACCAGAATAGAACTCTTTGGTATAAACACCACTCACCGTGTCTGGAAGAGGAAGAATGCCAAGTTGCATCCCAAAAACACCTTACCCACTGTGAAGCATGCGGGAGGAAACCTTTTGCTTTAGGGCTGATTTTCTGCAAAGGTGACAAGTTGACTGATCCGTAGAATGGAAAAGATGAATGGGGCCATGAATCATTAGATTTGAGGCAACAACCTCATGCTCATTGGTAAAGGTTTTAAATCTTATGTCAAATATTTGTAAATCTCCTCCGCTTAAGGTCATTACAATTTATGCATTGTGCACTTTATTGCATCACCTAAAAGGAAAAGAGGTAACCAGCTGCATGAATTTAAACAGCGAAAAGTTTTATTATTTATTTTTTTCAAACAAATTATAATAAA